AAGTAGTTTTGGGCTGAAAAGTTGATGAAGTACAACTTTTGTGTAATTTTCGTTTTATTTTATTTTATTAAATAAATCTGATCTTTTAGGTTGCTAAGGGAGCAATAATGGACTAGGAATTTAAGTAGTTTGGGACTGAATAATTAATAAGTTCATTATCTTATTTTTAATGTAATTTTCGTTTTATTTTATTTTATTAAATAAATATGATAGGTTGCCTTGCCTTTTAGGTTGCTAAGGGGAAATAAATGCTAGTGGGAATTTATTGCTTAGTTAGTGGGCTAGTGAATAGTGAATATTAAGTGTTAGTGGGAATTTATGTCATCTTGCCCATCTAAGCTTATAAATAGGAACCTTTTGTAAAAATTTTAGACAGAATGAATTATTCAGAGTTTGGATATTTTTCCAATTGAGAGGATTTTTCTCTCTTTAGGTTCATAGGAACTACTTTTGATTCTTATCCTTGAATTTTCTAATTCAAAGTGACGAATCTTCCTCAACTTGTCAATCCTTAGGGATTGTGGCATTGTTCTTCCATTTCTTACCTCAATCCATATTTTTTTCTTTTAATTTCTTAATTATGAGCTTTCCAACCTAGATAGATCAGTAAAACGAATCCGTAAAACGAATCCATCCCTCTAGGTTTATATCATTTGGTATCAGAGCTTTGGCTCTGGGTTTGGAATGGAAATGGAAATTTACTATACAAGATGTTTGGTTGACGACTCTCTATTCTTGATTGCAGTAGATGAATTTAATTTCAGAAATGTCGTGAGCAGCAGGGCGGTTGAGAAATTATGTCTGCCCACTACAAATGGACAAGCAATGATTAAATTCTCTATTGGAACATATGAAGATGAAGTTCTTTGTGATATTGCCCCCATGGAGACATGCCATATGTTATTAGGGAGGCCATGGTTGTATAATAAAATTATAAATCCTGAACGACCTTCTATTTCTTTTGTGCATGGTGGACGAAGGATTAAGTTGATATGTCTATCAACCGACGTTGTACATGAGGATCAACTGAAATTGAAAATAAAGATAGAAAAAGAAAGAGAAGAGAAGAGGAGAGCAGAAGATGAGATACATAGAGAGGAAGATGACAACTCTAACGTTACATTTTCTTCTTTTGATGTGTCAAATTTACAGGAACAGGAGGACAAGTTTTCTTGTTTGAAGAAGCATGTCAACATCATTCCTAATGCACCTTTATACATTCAGTCCACCTTTCAAAATAAAATTCAAGAGACCTTGCACCTGGAAAATGGAGTTGATTTGTTGTTTGAAGTTACTATTTTCCAAAGTTGCCACTTGAATGGGATTCAATTCCTATTCATTGAGTACGCTTGTAGTTATGAGTTTGAAGAGGTTTTATTTATGATTAATAACTTACCAACAGGTGAAGCTAGAGATGGATACAAGCGAGATGTCTTTGACCCAGGAGGAAGCATTTGCGTTCCGACAGTAGTTAGTGAATTAAATAAATTAGGAAATAAATAAAACCTTAAGATTCGGGACGAATCTTCTCAAAGAAGGAGGGTATGATGTGAATCCAGCAGGGTAAAATTGAAGACTAATAAGCCCAAAGTCATATGATAAAGAAGAAGGATTAATGGGTTGAAATTTAAGTAGTTTGGAGCTGAATAATTAAATAAGTCTATTATCTTTTTTTTTTAATGTAATTTTTGTTTTATTTTATTTTATTAAATAAATCTAATGGGTTTCCTTGCCTTTTAGGTTGCTAAGGGGAAATAAATGCTAGTGGGAATTAGTGAGAATTTATTGCTTAGTTAGTGGGCTAGTGAATAGTCAATTCTAGTGGATATTAAGTGTTAATGGGAATTTATGTCATCTTGCCCATCTAGGCTTATAAATAGGAACCTTTTGTAAAAAATTTAGATAGAGAATGAATTATTCAGAGTTTGGATATTTTTCCAATTGAGAGGATTCTCTCTCTATAGGTTCTTAGGAACTACTTTTGATTCTTATCCTTGAATTTCCTGATTCAAAGTGGCGAATCTTCCTCAACTTATCAATCCTTAGGGATTGTGGCGTTTTTCTTCCATTTCTTACCTCAATCCATATTTTTTTCTTTTAATTTCTTAATTATGAGCTTTCCAACCTAGATAGATCCGTAAAACGAATCCATCCCTCTGGGTTCATATCAGGAATTCAACATCCTATTTGTGATAATCGATTACTTATTCATATAGTTGATTACCATGGTGACTTTAGAGTGAAACAAGTTGGAAAATCATCGAGATATTTGATTACCAACTTCAGTAATCGATTACTTCTATTCTTGTTTCAACAAATTTTAGTTTCATTAAAAATTGATAATAGATTACCTTATATTAGCAATAGATTACAACTGTTACGAGTTTTTAATGTTGAAATCTTATTTGCTCTATAAATATAACTCTTTTTGAAAACTAAAAAATATATGAGAAAAAGAAAAAAAATAGATGACATTTTTTGATGAGAGATATCAAATAGTGAAATAGAAAAATATTTTTTCAAGAATCTAAAAATCATTTTTGAGTGAAGATCAAATATTTTTTTAGAACAATCAAAGAGTAAAGAAAATTCAAGAAAGTTGTTATCTTGAAAGAAGTTCAAGAAATTCAAGATTATGAACAATTCTTTGTGGAAGATCAATCTACACATCAGGTGTACCAATTCTGATCTTTAAACTTTTGTTTTGTATAGCTGGGTATCTCAAGAAAGAGTGAAAGAGGAATCTTAAGATAGATTTTCTCAAATGGATTCTTGAGATGCAAGAACTTTGGTGATTGTATAATCTTGTGGGATCAACATTAGGTGATTGTATTTTCTGATTATAATATTGTTTGTACATGGTGCTTGTAAAGAATATTATAGTAGAAAGATTGGATTTAGCATGAATATTAAGTCTGAAACTGGATGTAGGCCTTTGTATGGCTGAACCAGTATAGATCACTTTGCAATTTCTCTCTTTAACTTCATATCTTGTTATATTTCATATTGAATTGATAAAAAAAGAATTTCAAGAAAGTAAAAGAAATGTTTTCTTAAATATTATAGATTGCTGATTTGTTAAATTTGATATGATATATGCACTCTAGTAATAAAGTGAAAGAAAGTAATTACTAAAATCAATTTGAATTACAAAAATGAGTAGCAATTTTAGTGAAAAAAAATTGGAAAATATTGAAAACATCAGAACTGTATTTTATTCAAAAAAAGCAAATGCAACGCGAAAAATTATCAATAGGCCTAATAAAATAAGTATAACCTAAAGTTGAACTGACTCAACTAGGTCCCCAAATATCATAGTGAAGTAGATTAAAAGGTGACGCAACACATTTATTGACACTAGATTTATAGGATTGAAGTACATGTTTTCCTAATTGACACAACTCACACTAGATGAATTTAATCAAAGAAAAACTATGAACTAAAAGATGCAAATTCTCCAAACTGGGGTGACCAAGGCATTGTTGAGCAAGCTCAGTAGAAGTGGAGACACAAGCAACCAATGGTGAAAAACGATACAATCCCCCAGACTCATGTCCTGTTCTAACCGTTTGTTTGGTACGCCAATCTTGAACAAAAACAAAATTATTAACAAGCAAGATGGAGAAATTTAGGTTACAAGTGAGTTTACTAATAAAAATTAAATAAAAAGGATAATCAGGAATAAACAAGACAGAATATAAAGGGAGGTTAGGGAGTGGATGTGTTTGACTAATGCCATGAACTTTAAATATGAGAACCAATTGCAAGAGTAATTGATGGCAAGGAGGTTGAAAAAGACAAGTGAGAGAAAAGGGATTGGTTACTAGTCATATGATTAGAAGCACACATAACTCTTATAAAATAAAATTCTAAGCTCTGATACCATATTGTGATTTAGGAATTGTATGTCAATCTTCAGCATACATAACTCTTATTTATAATATAAAAAAAATAAGGATTTACATGATATGATATGATATTATATGATATGATTTGCTAAGATATGATTAACCTTAATAAATCTTCGCAATATCTTAACAAAAGTGAAATGTATATTGAAATACTTCAAATGAGATTTTTTTTAAAAAAAATAAATGGGTTGAAGGTAAGTCGACTTATCAATCCACCATTTTTAATTCACCAACTCACTAAAGTGGATCAATCTACCGGTAAGTGGGATGAGTTAAATTTTTCAATATTTTTTTTGTGGGTTAACTTGCCCCATTTCTTTGATGGTTCCAATTGTCCTGTTTAGGGTTCAATCCAAATTTAAAATAGTTGCATTGTACAATATTTTTCAACACAACCTTTTCCAAAACGGCATCCTTTACCTAATTTGGATTTAATTCACAGCAGATGCGAAACAATATATGTTGATACCTATATCTAAGGGAATAGTCTTGTGACACAACTCAATTTTATTCGAGGGGGCATCTTCATGTCGGTTAGTAACAACACCGATGAAAGCCAGCGCAAGATGGCTCCAAATCCACTTAAAAATTCAAGAGAGTTTCAAAGCCTAAAGAAAATAAGGTGGATGAAGAAAATGACCATTTTCAAGACAGAACATGATATATTTAAATATAGGTTGAGACCCCTTTAATATTGAATGAAATGAGGTATTCAGACATTTCGAAACATAGACAGGTCGACCTTAGCATGAGACCAAAACAGGGAGGGGAGCACGGTCTGTGCGATTAAAAGCCCCTACGGGAAACCAAACTTAAATAAAGTATATTATGTAAAACAAGCAGAAATTAATAGCAAAGTAATTACTAAATCCACACTATAGAAAAGATGTCATTCAATAGGTCAGATTAAAAACATTAAATCGGACTTCTTTCTTTAACAGTTCACCATTCTGGTTATGAAAACATGGGTAAACAGTGTATTACAGAAACACTGAAAATCATACAGGGTACCCACACATTCATACAGGTTTCAAACAGATCGGACAGAAATTGTCAGCGATCAAAACATGACAACCGGACTTGAAAAACTCGATTGAAACGTTGCTGGTTTATGTTCTTATCTGTTAAAACAGCACAAGCCAATTAACTATAAACCACAAATTTTGAAAGTTGCAAAGCTACTAGTGTCTGCAAGGTCAATTGTCATTATCAATGGTATTTTGCACATCTAATCTCAGACACAATGAACAAATGTTTTCCCAGTTCAGAGTGAGGCCTAAGAAAAAACTCAAGTTGGATTCATACAGTTCTTTAATGTCCACAATAGAAGATAATCTTAAGGAAGACATGACAAGAGGGTTTTCAAAAGTGCTTGTTTGATTTAGCGAAGTGAATATGAAGGACCAGCAAAAGAGTAACGGGATGAAACTGGTACAGCTGTTGCTTCCAAGCTCTCTTGGTAGTGTTGCATCCGATTGTATTCAGACAAAGCATCAGCCGCAGAATATGTTGAGTAAAGCCTATCCTGAACAGCCTCTCTCCTTTGCAAGGAATCACTTCCAATCAAAGTTCTTCCCCCAGCCAAATAAGACCTTGAAGAGATTTCCTCTCTACTCCTAGATGGAAAATATGGATCCCTTGGTGAAGCACCATAGCGATACCGGTGATAAGGATCGTCTGCATGTTCAGAAACTCCACCATGCAAATAGGCCTGGTGTTCGCTCTCATTCAGATGACGAGGACCAGCATGAAGACTTTCTGTGTGTGCAGGGACATTATTACGGTAGACAGGGTCCACAGGATGAAGGTGCTGTCTTTCATAATCCCTCTCATAAGGATCCAACATAGGATTAACCTGAGAGGCTGGAATCACATTCCTTCTATCTCCTTGGAGACCATAAGCTCGGTAGCTCTTCTCAGTAAGAAATAAATCATGAGGAATTTCCTCTCGCCGTTCGATTTGGGGATCTCTTTCCCTGTGCAAATGGGACCACGATCCCCTACCACCATCAAGAGCATCCCTATCATGAATTATTGCTTTTGGAGGAGTGCGAACAGGTGGCAAACCTGAACGAACGTCAACTGGTCGGAAAAGTTCAGTGAGCTTCCTAACCTGAAAAAGAACATCTGAATATCATCTATGATGAAGAATTAAGAAAATGACAGCTGGCCCACAGGAAGAATAGTTGATTCTCACTTGTCGAGCAGTAAGTTCTGTTTTGAACTTGTTCTTCTCATTGTAATTGTCCTTGATTGCCTTTTTGAAAATGCTTTCTGGTAGCGGGAAACAATCAGAAGAAACATTGAACCGCACCTGAAGGTTGCACCATCAGCGCATAATAAACATAGACAACATAAGGACAAAATAGATAGGACAATGAGATTAGAGCAAGTAACCTGTGCAGGAAAGTTACCACCGAAAGCTCGGGGTTCAAGTTTCATACCACCAGAAGAAGAGGCTTTGTAAATTCCGTACAACAGCCTCAGATCAAAATCATAAAGAAAAAGCTTAGTCCCGGGCTTGATACTTGAAACAATGTCTTTTTTAGCAGCTGAAACACCCATGACCTGATAGCGGAAACAGTCAGGTTTTGTCTTTGCACTGCACATAAAGATGAAACCACCAAGTTTTTCTCTCTTTTTCTCAATAGGACTTTTGTCATTAGCACTCCTATTTTGACTTTCCTTCTCTTTATTCCTTCCATCCTTCTCACTCTTCTCTTTAGGCAGTTCATCTCTATTGCCCACCACTTTTTTGTTCTTTCGAAGTCTTCTCTTTCCCCCAATCGGTTGAGAACCTTTATTTATTGTGGTCTTGAACTTGCCACCCTTGGATTTCTTAACAATTTTAGATTTGGCCTTCAATGATTGTGGAGTATTCTTGTTACTCTGCTCTGGTTTACTAGATCCTTCAGCAGGATTTGTATCCTTATTGCTATTGTCTTTTTCTACTAGAGCCTTCAGCAGGATTTGTATCCTTATTGCTATTGTCTTTTTCTGATGATTGAGGATTAGAAGACTCCTTTGGAGGATTCTTACTGTCCTTTCTGTGTTGTCTCATATTTATACAGGTACTGGAGCAGACAAATTTCGAAAGGTAAATGTTACTGGAACCAGTAAACAAATGCAACAGCAATTCAATTAAGGAATATGAAATTGAAGATGAAAAATGGGCAGGGGAAACAGAAGGGTCAAAAGAACCTCTTGACCTAAGCATGGGATAGAAACTTCCGCAAATGTCAAAACCCATGTACTACAGGACACTCCATCACATCAAAACTTTAATTGCAAAATACTGACAGTAGCTTTATAGCTCAACAGGTCAAGCATCTCTAACAATATTTCAAGATAGCACTTCAATCAAAAGCTAAACCTAATGCTTGAAAAAGTTCAAGGTAATCTGGAGCAAGCTAGTCAAAATTGAGACCCAACCTAGGATTAGAAGAGGGAGATAAATACATAAATTGTGTAATCATAACACAAACTGTAACTTACTACCAGCCTAAAACATAAAATTATATTTAGAAACACATGCATTTATACACTCGTGTGCACACGCACACACACATATAAATATAAAAGATAAATAACATTTTAATTATCTAGAGTACAACAATACTCAAAGAAAGAAAATATAAAATTTAAATTATGCAGTAATAATATATATAATATTATTTAAAAATCATTTATGTTAGAAAATAAACAAATTTTGGGTTAAAAAAATAAGGAAAATAACTTTTAAAGAGTTAAGTGGACTTGGCTAGTCTTGTCTTTTCTGGATTTTGCCCCCTTTCTAATCTATCCTTCTAGTCATTTCTAATACACTCAATTCCAAAGATCTGATATATACACTAACACCCTGTCTCCTTTCTCTTCAAAACTAACTCCAACCTCAACCAAGAGTGTTGCTATTTTCTCATTTGACTTTACCTTTGAAGCCTTTGTCATTTGCTTTCCGTCAGAACCTTAATTGAAAAGCTTGACAAGTACCAGAGCATAGTCAAAATGAAGAAGGAAATAAAGTTCGAAGGTTCTTCTCAAGTGGGTCTTCAAAATCAGGTGGATCTCTTTTTACTAAAAAATCATTCTGAGATGTACATAGGAATCATCCAATACCACTAATTCAACACAAAAGATCATGCAATCGCACTACAATGAGTATTTTAGGGAGGTCAGGATTGCTAAGATAAAAACTTGAGGAATTGCGTAATCATGTGATTTGAGGAAAATCGCAATTTTGACTGCAATGATGTGAGGAGCAGTGAGTTTGCCAGAAATGATGCCAGAGATCTGTGGGTTCACCAGAAATAAGATTTAGGCACTTGCGCTGTTTGGTCACAAAACATGGTGAGAAATTGTTTTCATTCTTTCAATCAGAAACCTATGTTTTTCTATCCAAAATAGAAATCCCAAAACTACCCAAAAGAATTGGGTTCAGACTTGCAGAAGATCAGCTGTAGAAATAGGATTTTCCCCTGTGAAGCATAGCATCCAATATGGCCACTGTTTTCCAGGATGTCAATTGCTTCATGACCACAACTCAGGCATCAATGAAACACATAAATATAAGAAACAAAACTAGTAGAGATTCTACCGGTTTTGTTTCGTAAAGACCACAATACAACAAACAACTCCATCACTATAGTGGCATGATCATGTTCCATTTATAAGTATGAATATCAAGATTAGATTTTTAAGGATCTTCTCAAACGAAGTTGAGAAGGCCTACAAACAGTAATAAATTATCAAAGAAGACTAGTACATCTTAAAACAAAAGAGAATATATTCCATTAATCAGCCATGCAAATAGTCCTATACAAGGCATGAAGAAAACAGTAGAGGAAGAAATTATATGATTTAAACCCTGAACGGCACTACCAGTAAACCATAAAGAAGCAAAGATAAATGTTTAAGAATTGAGACCATTTCCACAATATATACATAAATCTACCAAAACAGCTAAAGGTTGACTTTGAATAACAAAATAAAAACAGAAAATGATAATATAGGGTTGTATTATCAACTAATTTAGACCTGCATCTTTCAGCATTTAAGCACAGAAATTCAAATACGAAAATAAAATAGAGAAAATATAAATGGCTTTAGAAATTGATTGACAATTCACAGGAAGCAGAAAAGGCAACAATTAAATTAAGGCTCAGGTTGGATTAGAAAAAATGGAAGGAAAATAGAAAGTGTCAAGTGTCAACCAACCATTCGACATACAAGCTATTACATATAAGGGGGCATTCGGCACATAGAAAGTTTTTACTTTCTCGGAAATCAGACATCAGAAATGTTAGAGTCCCGCATTTAGTTTATTACATAAAAAATAACATGCCTAGGAAACATTGTTTTCCGTGAATGGATTTTAGATAGGTTTCTCATGAAAATATTCCCGTGGGGGAGGTGATACACTAACTTTTCCGAGGTAAAAATAAAGTTTTAATGTGGTAAAAACATTATGTTACCTTTATTTGCATATTTAATGCAGCAAAAATATTTGATACTCAAGTAACACTTAAAACATTCCCAGAAACATTTATGACCAACTAAATAGATTTTTATTATTCTTATGAGTCATGATTTCCAGGATTTATGATTCCCAAACATGAAAAAATTTTCCATGTACCAAATGCCCCCAAAAGTTCAATAAAATATACAAAAACTGTTATTGCTTTACAGAGTTAATGAGGAAAAGAAAGTCATGAACCAAGACTTCAGTAATATCGAAGAGGAAGAATTATATGCCTTGAAACCCTGAAACTCATTACCGGTGACACAATAGAAAATAAATAAAGATACATAAACAGGTAAACTCAACAAAACAAAGGAAAATTGCTTAAAACCATGTCCACAATATATTCATGCATCATCTCAAACACTGACAAGTAAGCTTTGAGTAACTTACCAAATGCAGAAATCATAAAGCCAAACAACTTGAAACTTTAAAGGTTGATTAAAAGTGTTAAAGATATAAAATAAAAATCAAGAAAAAAAGAGTGTAATATATATAATAGGAATTTTGACAATGACAACTACATCCTCTATTTCTTGCCACCCTATAACATGGAAAGAGGAATAAGCATAATAAATGGAAACTTAAGAATACACACAGAGAACCGACAAAACACAATTCAACAGAACAGCAATACAACAAAATAGAGAATAAAATGGAACGTGCAACATTTTTGGGTACTGCCTTTATTAGGGAAATAATTCATTTTTTTTCAAAACTGTCGCGGGAATACGACAAAAAGAGTGATTATTTATTCCAAATAAAAGTTACTAAATTTTGTGTCTGTGAAATTAGAGTAAAAGTAACATACTTGGAAGATATAAGTGTTTAGTCATTCCAAAAGCCAACCACAAGATTATACTTGTGGGTATAAAAGTGTCTGTCCAACATGTCGTTATATGTATATAAACAGTGCTATGCTCTAAAATAGTGCTGTTTCATAGTTTAAAACAGTGATGAAACTATAAACATTGAACAAATCATAATATGGTTTAAAATCTACCAAAAAAACAAAAAATCTTTCCAATACCAACTCACTATTCTGTTTGCACAAACCAACAACATATACTTTGTACCACTCCACTTACAAAAAAATAATAATAATAAATAAATAAATTAAAAAAATAAAATAAAATAATATATATATATATATACTATATATATATATAGAGTTAATCGCCAGTCTAAAGAGAAATAAGAGCTTAGTTGAAGTGCACGAACAAGCATAATCCAATTTACCCCTAAATTCAATCAAACATTTCAAAAAAACAAAACCCTAAATTCAATCAAATATCCAAAGAAAAAAGAAAAGAAAAACTCAAATAATTAGCACAAGACAAAGTTCTGCAGTAAGGTAGCAGCTTATCCAGCACCCTATCTAACATCAAAAGCAAAATTCTCCCTCATCTCAAAAACCCCAAACCACAACGATTTCTAGAGGTGAAATCCATCAGATTTTTTAAAATGGGTACCCTTGAACTACTCAAATTCATCGAAATTAGGTTGATGCGTTCCTCGACCAAAATAATTGAGTCTAATTCATCATCTAACCCACATCACACGCAAAGAAAGAGCTGCAATCAAAAGCAAGTAGAAGAGAAAAGAGAGAGAGTACCTTACAGAGAGACAGAGAGATCGCAAAGGGTAGAGAAAAAGAGGAAATGACGATGAAAACGCACGCAGGGATGTGCTTCAAATTGAAACCACCCGCAACGACCCAAAACTCAATCCGAGCCTTTCTTGGTCTTTTCAATATATACCTATTCTATCCCTGTAACATATTTAATTAACTTTAATTTAATTACAATTTTTGTGTCACATTTTACCATGTCCTAAATTTTGTTGCTACAATTTTGAAGTTTTATATTTTCTAACAATTCTTAAAACTTCTCACATTTTTCATTTCATTAATTAAAAGTGTAATATTGTTATTAGTTAATCACCGACATAACACATTAGTCATTAATTAATGTATTATATAAGTAATTGACATACTAAATTATTATCTATATATTAAATTATAAAATTTTAAAAATTAAATGCTAAAATATATAATTTTAAAAATTACATAGCAAAATTTTATAAACTCAATAATATATATATATATATAATAAAAGTGAAATTAACCTCTAATTTTTTTTATTTTAATATTAATATGTTTATTTTAATGTAGTTCATAAAAAATAAAAATTTAATTCAGTCAATGTGTTTTCAATTTCATCAATTTGATCTTTGTCTTATGTGTAAAGTTACAATTGAATATAGCATTTTATTCCAAACCTTATCATATAATATATATATATATATATATATATATATATATAAAAGAAGATTCAAATAATATTGATATAACTTTATTAAGTATTATATTATTTAATAATTTTATATTAAATATGAATTTTATAAATCTAATTGTAAGATTGAAAGTTTTTTATTCTTAAATTATATATACAAAAAAAATTATTAATCAAAGATGATTTGATACTTCATTCTTATAAAACAAAATTGACATAATATATATATTTCAAAATATAATAAAATATGAATACTTTGATTACTTTCAAGTTATTGTTCAATTTTAACAAAATTTGATATAAACATATAAAGTGATATGAAGTTATAATTCAATGGTTGGATTTATAAAATTCACATTTAATATAAAATTATTAAATGGTGTAATATCCAATAAAAGTTACATCGGTGTCGTTTGAATCTTCTTTATATATATATATCCCAATTTAAAACCATACATGTGATAATAATCAATGATAACTTAAAAAAGTCAAATTGCACTTTTGGACCCTCTATTTTTGTCAATTCACAATTTTGGTCCTTTTATTTTAAAATATTTAGTCTCAATTTTTAAAAATACAAAATTTTAGTCTTACCGTTAATTTGATGTTCGTTGATCATTAAATTTTGACGTCTGTTAATTTGTCATCACTTAAGTGATATGATACTTAATGATATGATATTTAATGACATGTAAAGATAATAATGAGAAGAAAAAAAACATACAAAAGATCTTCATTAGCATATATTTTAATGAGTGATTGACATTTATTTTATTAATAAATTTTATTTGCACAAATTTTTTTAGTTTTTTATTTTCAAATGTTATGTTACTAAACGTCATATCACTTAAATATGTATAAACATTGGTGTATAATAAATATGAATAAGTGTTATAACTTAATGATTAATATATGTCAATTTGACAGGAAGACCAAAATTTTGTATTTCTAAAATTAGAGAATTAAATGTCTCTATTTTAAAATAAAAAATTAAAATTAGATATTGATAAAAATATAAGGACTGGAAGTATAATTTATCCTTTTAAAATAAGTAAATTGATTTTTAAAAAAGAAAACCAATGTGATCTATGTGTGAAAAAGCTTAATTATTATCTAAACGAGTAAAATTGAGACACTTCATGTCTCTATATTTTATTTAATAAAAATATTTAAAAATATCAATGTTAGTTAGATTAACTGATGTCTTGTTTGGTCTTTAAACCTCAAAATCTTAAGTTCGAGTCTTATCTTTTATAACAATAGTTAATTTTTAATATTATTTTTATTATAAAAATTTTAAGGTAAAACCATCTAAAAAAATGTGTACAATAAATTAGATTGTCATCTTTATATATGTTATAGATAAAATTCTATATGATATTCAAAAAGTTGCAAGAGAATATATAAATATGAAAAAATAATATTATTTATATTGTGACACAAGATCATTTTTAATTATTGACAATGTATTTTAAAAATATTAAATTTTAATTTATAAATAAATATGATAAGACTCAAGATCGTGTATTTTAAAAAAATAAATAAGATATAAGACTCAAAAGGTTAAAAGAATTCCCAAAAACACTCTCACCGAAGAATAGTTTGTAAAAATGTTCTTGTGTAAGATAGTGATTTGTATTTAATATATAAGAGTTAAACAAAATTTATAATAAATTATAAGTTAGAATTCATTAGATGTAAGTTTAAAAGACTTACAATAAACCTTAGACCTTTAATAACTTTTTTTATATAATGTAAATTTAACTAATCCAATTGTTGAATTATGTGATATTATATTCAAGATTATGTATATCAAATTTCACATGATTTAAACTTTTTTAGATATATTATCCAAAAATGAATATTTACATATACTTTAAGTATCATATTATACATTAAAATAAAGTAATATGATGAACTACTAAATAATTTTGGAATCATGTAAAATTTGATACACATGATCTTGAGTATAGTATCACATAATCCTTAGTGTTAAAGAAAAAGATACACACTAGTAGGGAGTTGAATAGTGTATATCAAAAACTCTCAGTTTCAAAACAGTGAAACAATAAGACTTTAAGATGTAGTGATAAAATGCCAAACGAACCAAAACAAGTCTTTTTATATTGGTTCATCTAAAACCCAAATACTACATCCAGTTCTCAATCCAACCAGATTAAGTTCTGCTATCTTTTTCAAGATACAAGTATTCTTTTAACAAGTCACTTCTGACTCAAACCTAAGTAGTATTTTACTTGTCTCTTCAAACAACTACCCAAGTATTCTTTCAACAAGCCTCTCCAAGCTTAACACCAAATATTTCTTTGAACAAGCCTCTTTAGACTCAACACCAAGTATTCTTTTCAACAAGCCTCTCTAAGCTCAGCACCAAGTATTATTTTCAACAAGTTTCTTCAAGCTCAACCCATACAAATAAATTTGAAAAGAGTTACAAGGATAACTTCGTCTCCTTTAGACGTGATGCTACAAAAATTAAGCACAAATAAACTGTATAGGACATAATGTATCTACAAGGTATAAACTTTGTTTCTTTTCTTATTACTTTCCCTTGTTGTCTCTTATATTGTATATCTTTGTCCTATAAGTTCTGTCTTGATTGAGAATCCCTTATATAGTAACTTAGAAGAAAATGACCATTGAGCAATCTTCTCATAATGCTTCATCTGTCTTCTCTTCAAGATCAGGGAGAGAGAGAGTAAATTAGTCGTTGTTGTAAGAATTTAATGCTTTGTGTGAAGATGTCTATCTCTTATCTGATCTTGGCAGCTACTCATCATCATTTCGTTAGTCACACACTCCTTAACCATTTGACTTTGTCATTTTTCGTTTAATTTCAAAATTATTGTTCACTTCATCTTTGTCCTGTCAATAGACTAAATACTAGAGAAAAAAAATTAACATTTATTTTCATTAAACATATTATTTGTAGGTTAATACTCAAGTTGAGAAAATAAGGCATGACCAAAGACTACTTGGATAATAATTTTAATTTAGACAATTTAGTTATGTTTGAGAGATCAACTTAGTTTTAAATGTTAGAATACTTTAATTTCAAATGTTAGACTATATTTGACTACTTTAATTTCATAATTCATATATTACTTTTTAATTTACGTTTGAATGTTATTTACACTCTTTTACTAATAAGTTTTACTTAAATTTTAAGATAATATATATATATATATATATGTTTTAAAAAATAAATATTTTCTAGTCTTTTAAGAAAATAATTAATCTAAACCAAACCAACTCACTATTAATTAGTTTGGTTCAAATCGCAATTTTTTTGTAAATTCAATCCAAACTAAATCAAAACTAATTAGTTCCTAAACAGATCCATGAATACTCCTAAGTGGTGGCGATTGACGATGGTGGTGCTACTGGCAACAATAGCATTGGCAATTGTGATGGGAATAGGGGCGATAGTGGCAACAACGATGTAGCAATTATGGTGGCAATTATGATGGCAATGACAGTTGTGATGATGATTATGACATAGACAACTATAATGTTGACTATGTGTAATAGTTTTGTTTGTATCTTTCTAAATTGAGCTATGTATTTTAATCTAATAATTATTATCAATATTTTTGGTTTCTCATTATAAAAGGTATTCTCATTTGAAATGTCACACACACACACACACACATATATATATATATATATACATACATATATACACATATATATACATATATAGATATTTATGGATGTATATATATATATGTATATATATATGTATGTGTGTGTATGTGTGTGTGTAAGTGTATATATATATATATGAGTATACAAAATTCATGATAATGTATGCAACTAAGATAAATATCTTACAACACTGAGTCTCAATTACTCAAATATCACAACTATCTCACCACAAAGATTTTGTGCACAACCACCATCATCTCACAACTACATATCCCACAACTTGCACACAAGAATCACAACAACATACCTACTTGTACCATGCAAATCATTATGCACAAACAACAGCAAAGATCCACTATACAAGTGTTTTATTCAACCCTACCTTATCGGATAATAACAACCTTGGTTACTCAAGTATCGTCAACATAAACTTGAAAGGTCCAATATCACCTAATGGGTATAGAACAACATTGGTCTTCAAAACCAAGTCCCCTAAGAATTAGTTCACTATCTACCCCCAAGATACCATGCACCCTTCCAACACTAGATGACCACCCACCACTTACATGTCAACCCAACATCTAGGTTCAAGGAACCTAGACAAGACCATTCAACAACTAGTATCAACAACTCCCCACATATCATTTTCACAACACCATTTGTAGAAGAGTCACATTTTCTTAAAAGCTTGTACTTATATAGGACTACGAAGCACTAGGCTCCCAAAGACCTAATCAACTAGCATATCCAGCTTAACAACTCAACAAATAATCTAAGTTCA